TTCATTTTGCCTCCTGACGTTCTAGACCCCAAGTTGCACGTTGTGGTCCGGAGGCCTCGCTCGCCTCACCTGCAGTTTGGTTTGGTTAGCGCAGGTTTTCAGGCTGGATTGGCGCTCGTCGTTGTTGCTGTTGTGTGTGTGTGTGTTTTAATCTCATGCAAACCTGGCCCGCTTTTCTTGGGAAACACTCTGACGACGGCGTGGCCACCGTCAGCTGGGCGCGAGGCGGGAGGTCCCACCTAGACGAGCCGAGCCGGGGCCCCGCAGCGACAGGGTCTGTCCTGCGTCTGGGGCCGGCCGTCCTTCCCCGTCTCTGCCCGACCGCTGTGTTTGCTGACTTTCCCGCTCTGTGTCCCGTCAGCTCTTCAGCTGCGGTGCGTTTCTGGTTCCTGTTCACAAACTGGTGGGCTTTTCCTGGATGTGGCCGGTGTGGCCTCCTCCCGTCTGTCCGTGTCTTTCGTGCAAGGCTGTGTTTCAGGGGAGCTGGGAGCAGCGCACACACCGGGTCGTCTTTACTAACAAAGTAAAGTGCGTGGGGCCAGGAATAATTCCTGAAGTCATTTTTCTGTGTGAGCTTGGGATGTATTTTTCAGGATATACATATATATGTGTGTATATATATGTATATATGTTTATATATGTATATGTATATATGTATGTTTAATTTTTTTGTTGTTGTTGGGGGGAGAAGCAAATTGAGCTTCTAAGTGCTTTTTTCTCCTAAGCTAATTTTAAAATGAGTGGTGTTCCACTAGCTTGCAGTTACTGAGTTGATGATGGGGGTGAGGTTTGCGAGTTGGAGACCCGAGAACAGTTTTGGTAAACCTTACTGGGTTTTGTGGCTCGTAGAAAAGCCAGCCTTCTTAACCTGTGCTATAATTGAGATTTTACTGTTAGAAATAATAAATAGGAAGGTTCCTTTGTCAGCTTTTCTTGAGATCGTCTTATGTGGTTACATTGATCAGGTGATGAATGTTTTTATTATGTCTTCTAACCCAACCTTTTAAAAAATGTTTCCTTAACTACTAATTTCCCGTAATGAGTGAGGTGTGTCATCTCTCTTGATGTGCA